TGATATATTGTTACAATATCAGTTGAAAAATATTAAAAATACATAGGCACAATTTTCTTTTATAAGCATTTAAAGATCGAATTTCGACAAAATTTATCTAATTTAAAATTGAATAATTATTTTGTAGTTAAAAATTTATAAAATGTTCAACTTTTATATCTAAAGATTGAAAATTTAAAACAAGATTCCACGTAAGTAGTTTATTCTGTTACCAAAAATCTAAAAAATACATACGCACAGTTTATTTTTATAGTCATTTTAAGTTCAAATTTGGAAGAAAATACATAAAAAAACCTAGAATAACTATTTTAGTTGTTCCGTTGTGATTGTATAATATTATTCCTGGGTACTTGAAATTTCTAAAGTACACTATTATATATCTATGATAGTATCAGGGTTTGTTGTTGATGAATAACTCGTTATAAGTACCTAATGGGTATTGTGATATGATTAATTTGGAATTTATTATAGGTACCTATAAAAGGTCAATTTTTTTTAATACCATAGATAAGTTTATAATATGCGCTATACCTAGACTGACATACCGTCTCCGCTCAGAATCGTTTTTCTTATACAATGATATTATATCATTCAATTCATATTTAATATCATCCATTATACTGCAGTGACCTACTTGTAACCTACTGTACAGCAGAGCACCTTTTTTTACAATAAGGTATGAGTATATTGAGTGGTATGACTGTATTTCATTCTTGTTAGCAGGTAAGGGTCTAGAAATTTTAACATGGGTCCTTTATTATCAAGTTGTGCCACTGCATCGCTAGCTCAGAACCTAAAATAGAAAATTAAAAACCTCTAAAATAGACATTTGAAAATTATATAATATATAATATGGAAGATGCTAATAAAAAGATTTTCCCTCATTTTTTGTCGTTTTTTCTAATATTATTAAGAAAAGAACTTTTAATTTTCTGCAATTTGACACTTTAAAATACTACCAAGTAGATCCAACTTGATAAGAAATCATCCCCAATGTTGAAGATCAAAGCATTGTTTCTACTATAAAACGCAATATACACCACATAACACATATAGGCACACAAAAAATAATTGGAAAATCGCAATAAGCATTGGTCGTACCGTTCGGAATCTAAAAACCTTACCTTTAAAGTATAAAATATTAAAACGAGTATATACGATGACAGTATAATATAATGCAAATTGATATATTATACAATTTAAATCATCGTCGACGGCCCAGGAAGAAATCGGCACATTTGCAACTCTGATACCTATACGAGGACAAAAAACCTGAAAAAATGGCTGCATCGCATAATGACGAAATAACAATGGAAACAACCATCAAGCACATCTTGGGAAAGATCATCAGCAACGTCGAATACGAAATTATGGAGGAGGAACTTGGTAGATTCGACGACATCAACGAAGAACCGACCATTGGTGACCTAGAGGGACTTTTGTCATATGCGACACGCTTCGCGGGGGACGACTACGTCCTGTTCAACGTCTTTCAACAGGCCGAAAATTCTCGCAAAGCTGCAGAACCGGTTGAACCTATCGTAGACGACGTAGTGGTTGCACCGACGGTGCAGGGAGTCGCGGAAAAGGAGATAGGAGACGAGGCGATGGGCGCCACACCAGTCAGGGGACTATAAATCAGAAATAGTCTTGGAATCTTGATTGGTTGGCTGGACACGGGGGTCAAAACAGAAACACGCACAGTGGAACGGCGAGAGTGGTCTCCTCTGCGTGGAGAGGCATAACGAGAGCCTCACGCGTGTTGTGTTGTTGTCTCTCGAAGTGAAACCGTCTGAACGTTTCCCCCCTGGCTGATGGTAGCGGACAAGGCGAGGCGACGTATGGAGTCAAGGTAATAGGTAAGTGAAAGTGCAAATTTAGGTGGTGATCGGCGGTAAGTCACCGTACACCTTCTCCGGCCATCCTGCGGTAGTGCGACGAGATTGCGGACGTTGCGCGCTTGAGGTCGCCAAGACACGCGAAACCCTCTGGCGGCGCGACGGGCGCCCGGCTGCTTCGATCCGGGAGTGACGACGACACTACGACGGAGGCTAGCGGTACCGGCGCGAGAAACGACACCGTCCCCGACGGTACCTGCTCACTGCTCAGTGACGAACGCAGTGCTGCAAGACTCGCATGACGGCGGTGACGAAGTCCTCAGACCTCACGGCGGGTGAGTGACGGATGACTATAATTACAGAGTAGCTAGGAACACCATGGACGTCAACAGCGCCGGGCTCGAGGAAACGAAACGAAACGTTACGTTGGGTTCAGCGGTGTGAGACTCCGTGGCCATCGGCTGTGGCAGACGGCGACAGAGACGCCAGGGCGATAATGACGGAGAGTATTGCGCGTTGCGATGCTGTCCGTAGATTCTCTCCCCTTTTCGCCTAGTGGTCCGATCCCGCGACGGCCGAGTCGCAATGCCGCCGATTCCGCAGCTGCACCGAGATTATAGTCTTCGTCGCCAGCTCGCTCTAAGCTTTGCAGGTCACCGTCGTCGCCCGGCACAAGCAGCCTTCTTCAGCGCCGGCAGCACCGTCAAGCATCGCACGACATCGCGCACTAGCCTCTCGTCGCCAACCGTCGTCGCTCTCGCAGCCGTCGTGGCCGGGCTTCGCCCGCTACCATGATTGTCTCAGCGTCTCGAGCAAACGCGCCCGCGACTCTCGTCCGCCCCGCACGACAGCCCGTGAGAACGTTGTAGAGGTGACCAGTGGCCATATAACAGTTACCAATATCATCAGCACCACCAACTCGCCATCACGTTCCCCCCATATCGCCTCGTCTTGTCCGATGCCTTTTTTCATTTAAATTATTATTTCTTGTTTTTTGCTACCTACTTTTCACATAATATATTTCATTTTTCGGCGTTCAAAATTTTAAAGCACTAAGCATTGATTTTCTATCTTTCATGAGATTATGTAATACAATTATTTCTTCTATACACAGTAAAATGTTGTTCCTTACTTTTCGTATTAAATAGTAAGATTTCATTTATTTCAACAGAATAATGGCTCCACTGAACATGATCGTGTTCACGTGGGTCCCACAAAGAATATTAACCAAACATTTTTTTATTACGTACCAAATCTTAATTAAATACATTAAAGGTATTGGCCACATGAGAGTATATAAGTTTACCGAAGTGGTGATATTTTTTCTACCCAAAAATGTGATAAAAGTAGAAAAATTAATTTAAGAAAACACTCACACATTATTATAAAATCAATCCATTCATGATTCATCAGCTCAGAATTCAAAATAATAGTAATAATAGGTAACTATAGTTTTTGTTATTGTTGTTGACTGTTGTATGAACACCACATTGTTTTTTTCGTAATACTAGATATAGCCGGTATAGGCGTATTGCGCCGACCCTCGAAATGATTTTGGAATGAAAATAAAATTTGGTATTAAAGCATCATACGATTTTGGTTCAACATAAATAAAGAATTAATGATGTTATTAATTCGGACTTTCCACGACAAATGTTAACTTAAAAAACAGTTATAAAAGATGAAAACTAAAAATAATAAAATATTTGAGTAGCCTTAGTATAAATAACGATTTATTGAGTACCAACGTAGTTTTCCAGAAGTTCTAAGAGGTTGTATCATTTTTCTTATAATGACGGCAATCACTGTGGCAGGAGCAAAACAATCAATTTCCAAACTAAAACTAATAAAAATTACTTAAGAAACGCATGTGGACGAGTGCATTTATCTAGTATAGCAATTCCAAATATAGAAAAAAAACTAAAAATCTAAATATTGAGAAAATATTTGACAATTTTTCCAAGGCAAAATCGAGAAAATATATTTCTTATAATAGAATATCTTGGATATTTATGTTATAATTATGTTAACTAAATTATTTATTATTTAAGATTAGGTATTCTTAAATGTTATATTACCTATAATGTTAAAATTTGGTTATACATTAATAATGCAAATTGATTTGTAGTAAAAATATAATGATATAATATTGATGTAAATTGTTTTTCAAAGGAGTTCCTAAATTTTCTTTTGCATCAGGCCCTCAGAGTTCAAGATCCGGCACTGTGATAGATCCACTACAACAGTGTTACTCCGGAAAGAAATCACGGTCGGCGAATACCTACATCGGCTTAATAAGTTGGTAAGGTTCCTAATTCTCAAAAAACTAGACGACTTCTACACGTTTTGTATTTATATTCATTTTGGCAATGACGCCATGATCCATTTCAGGAAATGGCAACTATCCCCATAAACGCCCAATTAGTTAAGCAAAATATAGTATATATATAAAAAAAAATAATAGTAGGTACCTAGATAATATAGATGTTATAAATAGCTATAGGACTGGTAACACAATAGCGGCCTACAATTTTATTAATAATTTATTTTTAAAAAATTATTTCGGTACCATAAATAATCAAAAATTAGAAATAGGTGTATATCAGCGTATATAATATTATATGATGTATAATAGTACATTAAAATAAAATTAATGTAACAATTTAATATAAGCTTGATGTAATATTTTTTATGTAAATATATACAATGGGCAATAGCCAATTAAGATCAATAAAAAAAATTAATGTAAAAAATTAGTATTAATGGCAAACTTAACCAAACGATTTTACACTCAGAAGTGTTATTATGTATTTAAACAACAATATTTTTTTTTACTGTAAATAGTTTTGAATTTTAATATACAGTATGATAATTAATGTATTTAAAATGAATAAATTTAATATTAAAAACAAAGTTTTTTCAAGTGTCTTATAAGAAAAAATACGTAATATGTTATTTACATAATATTTTATTTTTATTTTTAGAAAAAAGAGGTACCTTAAAAAATAGTAAATGTCAAAACAGTTTAAATTGGAATATACAGTATAGCTATATAGCCTATGGTAAAAGCCAATAAGTATTTAAACAAAAAAAAATTTTAACTTGTATTTCATAACTATTACTTCAAACAAAACATTTGTTCTTTACTTCATTAATTTGTATTTATTTCGTTTTTTGTTTCTCTGTACCGTATTGTGAAGACGTCTTACTTATTTCAGAAACGCTCAACATTTTGGATAAGACGACGTGAACTGCAAATAAAATATTTTGGATTACATTTAATGATGAAATATTCACAGCATGTTATAATATATTTTGTTAGTTTGAATATTAAACTCACGTAAGCCAATCGGTAGCACCAACAATAATATATGAAGTATATTTCCCGAAATGAATATGTTAAATGCCAAGTAGAAAAACGGTACTAAAACTAAGATTGACCAAAATATCATATTTAGAAGACAATAATAACGATATGGCGGAACAAATTTCTCCACTGGTGTTACACCACTTTCCTTGAACCAATCTCCTGTGTTGAAGAAGCTGACCATCATTTTATCCTGTTGATTAAATATATGTTTAAAAATGGTGTGCAAGTGGGCATAGGCGCACATAGGGGGGTGCTTGGGGGTGCTTAGCACCCCCAAGCTTCAAACTAGCACCCTCAGTTTATTTCAGGATTTCACCAATCATTTATAAGCTATCGTGGTTTATTGGTTCGGAATTTTTCTTTTCATTACAAATATTGACAACTGTTTACGAATTCACGAATTCATTTTTTTTTTTTTTTTCTGTCATCATCTTTTAGGACAGTAAAAGTGTCAAAAGCAAAAATTTCACAGTAGTTTTCAAAAGCGCCGTGAAAAACAAAAGAAAAATTAAGGAAAAACGGGAATTTTTACGCAAAATCTGTTTTCGAGAAAATCGATTTTGGTTTTTAGTGTAACTTTAAAACAAATGACCGTAGATATATCAAATTTTCACTGGTTATTTATATTTCTATTTTCTATACATGATAAAATTTTCTAAATATTTTGAGTTATTTTGAGCTTTTTACGGACATTTTTAGTTTCCATTTTTTTTAGTTTTTTTTTCTATAAGTATCAATAAAATTTTATTTCTTGGGTATAAAAGCTTAAACATTTAATAGAAGGCTCCTAATAAATTGTTTCAAAGACAGATGAAAAATATTAAAAATCCTTAGTCACAGTTTTTTGTTATAAGCATTTAAATTCCAAATATTTACAAAATACGTGAAAATGACGAAACTTTGCAAAGTATTTCGTGTTAGAAATTCATAAAAATTTTTCTTTTTAAATCTAAGATATGAAAATGTAATGCAAGATTCCTCATAAGTTTCTCTACCTTTATCAAAAAAAAAAATGTCTACAAGAATCTCAAATTAAATTTTTATGAACGTTTGAAATTCATATTTTTACAACATTTGATATTCACTCGATTTCTCATGTAACGATTTTCTAATTTTGTTGTAATTAAAAAACGAATGACTGTAGATACTTGAAAATTTTACTAAATTTTTATATTAGCATTTCCTATACACCATATAGTTTTCAAAATATTTTGATTCTTTTTGAGCTATTTACGGACATTTTCAGTTTTCAATTTTTTTAATTTTTTTTTCTATTCATATCAATAAAATTGTATTTGTATGGTAAAAAAGCTTGAAAATTTAATGCAAAGCTCCTGATATAATGTTACAATAACACTTGAAAAATATTAAAAATACATAGGCACAATTTTTTTTTATAATTATTTAAAATTCAAATTTTGACAAAATTTATCACATTTAAAATTTAATAATAATTTTATAGTTAAAAATTTATAAAATGTTCAACTTTTATAGCTAATGATTGAAAATTTAAAACAAGATTCTACGTAAATAGGTTATACATAAATTGCTTTATTCACCTTAGTATCATCAAATATACTTAGTAATATCATAGGCTGACTAACCGTCTTCGCTCAGAATCGTTTTTCTTATACAATGATGTTAGTATATCATTGAATTCAAATTTAATACCATCGATTATACAGTGACCTACTTGTACCCTACTGTACAGCAGAGCACCTTTTTTTGTTTATCAAACTTAAATAACTTTTATTTTCATTTTGATATCGGAAATATAAAAACAAAGTTACAGAGGAAATTTTCTCATTTTTATAGTGTGAACATTTAGTTTCTTAGCTTAGAGTAGAGACTGAATGTTTTTTATACCCGTGCAAAACAGTTTTGCCTATGTTGTACCTACGTCTGTAATACGGAGACAACACATGTGGGTGTACCTAGCGTCTTCTTTACAATCATACAGACGATTTGATACATTGCACTTTAGAAATTATTGTATACACTATACAAATTAAATCTAATGCAATGCAGAAATATTAGGATTAGGGGGGTGTGGGGGGCAAAGCCCCCCCACGGATCTGTGAACCATAAATTATCCCAGCACCCCCTAAATTCACACCCTATGTGCGCCTATGCAAGTGGGTGTCACTCTGTTGTACAGTGGGTTACAAGTGGGTCACTGTAATGTATGGTGTTAAATTTGAATCCAATGATATAATATCATTGTATACGAAAAATAATTCTGAGCGAAGACGGTCAGTCAGCCTATGATACCAGACAGCAATGCAGCATACTACTAACTTAGTAGTATGCTGTACCTAATAAATATTAATAAATACGAAAAGTTTTTTTTAATTGTTTAGGTAAACATAAAATTATATTTATGATTATGATACGATATCGATATCGTAGAAATAACGATATCGCGATACAATATCGGAAAAATCTGAACGATATCGATACAGAAAACTATATCGTTGCCCAACACTACTACTAAGTACCTATATTTGATGATACAATTGTGAATAAAATAGTTTATGTGGAACCTTGTTTTAAATTTTCAATCCTTATAGCTATAAAAGTTGAATATTTTATAAATATTTATAACTACAAAATATTTTTTGTATTGAAAACCGAGCTGCTAATTGATATAATGTAATTATATAATATTATATAAATTATATAATTTATAACTATATAATATGGACTATTACTTTTTTCTCGTACATGTCGTACATCCATTTTTCACACGCCTTGTCACCATCTGGAACCTGTTCAATGGGTATTCTTTCCATGTACACGTGTGCTTCAAACCGCTGACCACATAACAAGGCTCTCAACGATGGTTTTTCTTCTCTGCATTTGCGATATAGTCATATTGAATATAAACGAGTTAGGAAAAAAGTTATCTGTGGTGCAAGCGCTGAGTATAAATCTACTTTACGAAACTCCCTTTTGTTTTTCTCAAAATTGAATTCAAAAGTGTTTGAAAAAATTTGAGAAAACTTACCGTTCAAAAATTATGACAATTCAAAGTTGTGACCAACTCGAGGCGGTTTTACACAACAAGTCGAGGGATATTTTTGATTTTATGTCCGAGCAAGCGAGTGACCACGCTGGGAGTAAGTTTACTTAGAAAACAGCCTCGAGTTGGTCACAACTTTAAATTGTCATAACTTTTAAACGGTAAGTTTTCGCAAATTTTTTTCAAACACTTTTGAATTCAACATTTCAGCATGAAAAAACATGTATTTTGAGAAAAAAAATTGAAAAAAAAAGGGTGTCTGGTAAAGTAGATTTGTTAACAAACGCTGTATAAGATATAGCCTGTACAACGCTGATGCTATATACGCACCCTTTAAAAGCAATTTGAACGTTGTAGACGGCTGGCAAATTGTGTCTAAAATGAGGCAATCCGAGGCTGAAACCTTTAGTCCTCGGGAGCAAGTGTTCCTTTAACTCCGGCAGTCCTTTAGACCGAGCAAACTTAATGCTAGCCTCTTGTTTATCTTTTGTGAACCTGGTGCCTTCTGCGTAAAGCAACATCTGCACGGACATTTCGAAACAGAACATCAAAATATTACCATATAACAATATAGTAGGTATAGTGAACATTGTAATTAAATGTATAAAATACCGTGACTGGGTGTCCATGTTCGAACAATTTTCCGAGCTTCGTTTCGATTGTGTGCTTGTCTCTTACCAAGTCTCTCTGAAGGAATAAGAATTCGCCGAACCACCAAGCCCAACCAATTACGGGCATGTATTTGAGACTATTTTTTGCGAATGCTTTGCAGTTCTATTATTAAACAATGCAATAATTAAAAAACGTATATTTAATGATTAATACCCTAGTTGTTATTTCGACTATATACGAATCCAGTCGTAGGTATCAAAAAAAAACTTACCCCGAGAATGCCGCCGATTCGATCGTGTACGACCCAAGCAGTTAGCCAGTCAATTTCGTATTTGTGGTTAATGATGAACATCCCATGTTCTTTGCCGAAGAACTTGTAATCCTCTTTGTTTATATAAAAGTAATACGGTATACCAGCCCACCAATCGGACAAGAAAACGAGTTCTGTAAAAAAAAAAAAAAATACAAATTTAAATAGTAAAAAAATTATAGGTATAATATTATATTTTATAAATAATCGTAATTTTTCAACCGTTGTTATAGGTTGATTTTTATAAGTATAAAAGTAAAATTAAAGATTCATTGATAAGTGATAACGAGTTTTGATGGTTGTTTATAAGTAAGAATATAAACATAAATATTTTTTAATTTAAATTTAATATCAAAATATGTATAGGTACACCTATGTCCTATATAATACTTAGGTGTACCTATACAATATAATACTTATGTTATAACTTATAAATAATCGGTTTTTTTTCAACTGTTGTATGTGTTGATTTGTATAAGTATGTATAAAAGCAAAATTGAAGATCCATTATTAACAAATTTTTAAGGTTGCTCAAGTACCTAGTACAGTAGTACCTATACGTAAATTTAGTATTTTGTTAAAATTAATTTGTAGTGTGATTACTAAAATAACTTATAAATGTATGTATAATGTATACCTGAGTAAATAATGTATGAAAAATAGTAGTTAATTTTTCTGAAAAGATCCTTGTTTAGTGGCCACAGAGTTATAAAAAATAATAACTGTAACAAGTTGACAGTAAGGCCAGACACTAAAAACACCAGTGTGAACAATAAGTGTGTCACTGGGGACGACTTTATGGATAACATGTTTGTTGTCATCTTTGATTAATGATTAAGTGGTGTTTAAAAAACGAGTGAGATATATCAAATCATTGATATTTTAAATAACACCGAGGAGTTAAATCGACACTGGAACGATTAAAACTAAAAAAGCGTTTGTTAAAGAAAAATCGCGTCTGATCGTGAATTTTAAGACAGAAAACCTATTACAGATCGTGACAATTATATGTGTGTAATGTGTAAGCAGCATAAATATACTGAGGGATTCATGAAATCATGAAATGTACTTACAGGTTTTATCAAAAACAAGGTTATGCAAGGTTATTGATTTCATCCGATGATGAATGTTTAATAATAATAAAATATGCACTTTGTACTCCATAATCACAAAATATATTTGAAACCGTTTAACTATAGGTACTATAGATAATATACGCAGCTCAGACACATTTCTTGTTTTAACAATTATTATTTTATTTTTTATCAAATGTAATACCGCTGTATTTTGCATTAATTTCACTAAGATATATTGATTTATACTCCAATATGGAATATTTTGATTGATATACGATAAAAATTAAATCAATAATAGCGGGTATTGCAAAATTGTCTGAGTACATCAATATACCTAATCTATTAATATTATTATATAGTTTGTATATTTTAATCTACAAATTACGTTCTACATATTCCTATTCTGGGTTAACCTATAATTAGTTATAATTGCATATTTATAGGCATTTTTTAAGTTCAAAATTAATTCTAAAAATAAATAACTAGTAAAGATTTTTTAATTTGATTTAAATATAATCAACAAAAATTATAATTGGTTTTTTGCAGGGTTTTGCACCGGAATCATTTCTTCGGGTTTCGGGTGTTAAAAGAAAATTAGGGTTATTGAATTCGGGTGTTACGGATTAATACACTTTTTTTGGTTACGGTTAAATGCAAATTTATTCGGGTTAATTATGGTTAATTCTGATGTTAAAAAAAACACATTTTGTATATCAACTAACATGAGATTATGATTTGAGATTTGATATAGTAATCTGATTTCCTATTCAAAGTAAACATAAAGAAAAAATTTAAAAAAGCTGGGTAAGTGGATGTCGCTCTGCTGTACAGTAGGTTACAAGTGGGTCACTGTATAATTGATGCTATTAAATTTGAATTCAATGATACAATATCATTGTATAAGAAAAACGATTCTGAGCGAAGACGGTATGTCAGTCTAGGTTTAAGACAAATTATATACATATCTATGGTATTAAAAAAAAATTGACCTATAATAAATTCCAAATTAATCATATCACATTATCACAATATCCATTAGGTACTTATAACACGTTATACACCAACAACAAGTGAACAAAAAACCCTGATACTATCATATATATATAATAGTACACTTTAGAAGTTTCAAGTAGGTACCCACGAATAATATTATATAATCACAACCAAATAACTAGGTTTTTTAATATGTAATTTCGTCCAAATTTGAACATAAAATGACTATAAAAATAAACTGTGATTGTATATTTTTTAGATTTTTCGGTAAGAGAATTAACTACTTACGTGGAATCTTGTTTTAAATTTTCAATCCTTAGCTATAAAAACTGAACATTTTATATTTTATTAATTACGATGATTAATAATTTTCGAGATTTTGAAAAATTATGTCAAAATTCGATGTTAAAATGCTTATAAAAAAAAATAGTGCCTATGTATTTTTAATATTTTTCAACTGATATTGTAACAATATATCAGGAGCCTTGTATTAAATTTTTACACTTTTTGGCCCAACAGATAAAACTTTATTGATTCATAGAAAAAAAAACTAAAAAAATTGAAAAATGAAAATGTCCGTAAACAGCTCAAAAAGAGTCAAAATATTTTCAAAATTGTACAGTGTATAGGAAATGCTAATATCGCCGTCCCGGTAGAACAATGACGCAACTGTAATAATTGCAATTTTACAGGAAACCCAAAAAACTAAATTATTTTCACTAAAATGTTAATTATTTATGAGTGTACAAACTGATAATTCCACAACGACGCAATTGCCCTCTGACGGTCTAAAATACAACTACAGTTCCGTCGTTTTTCTACATTATGCGTATGCTATATTTAAACTCATTGTAGCATTTAGGCCATTTATACCAAATTTTGCAGTTGCGTCATTGTTCTACCGGAACGGCGATATGAACATTCAGTGACATTTTCATGTATCTAGTATCTACAGTTATTCGTTTTTGAATTGCAACAAAATAAGGAAATCGCTACATGAGAAATCGATTGAATATCCTATGTTGTAAAAATTTGAATTTCAAACGCTCATAAAAATTTAATTTGACTTTCCGGTAGAAATTTTTTTATTGATAAAGGTAGACAATCTTATGAGTAATCTTGTATTAGATTTTCAAATCTTAGATTTAAAAAGAAAAATTTTTACGAATTCTTAACTCAAAATAATTTGCTAATTTTCGTGATTTTTCCATATTTTGTCAATTTTTGAACTTTAAAATGCTTATAAAAAAAAAACTGTGACTTACGATTTTTAATATTTTTCATCTGCCTTTGAAACAATATATTAGGAGCCTTCTATTAAATTTTCAAGTTTTTTTAACCAACAAATAAAATTTTATTGATATTTCTAGAAAAAAAACTAAAAAAAAATGAAAAATGAAAATGTCCCTAAACAGTTCAAAATAAATCAAAATATTTTTAAAATGTTATCGTGTATAGAAAATGCAAATATAAACAACCAGTGAAAATTTCATGTATCTACGGTAATTTGTTTTAAAGTTACACCAAAAACCAAATTCGATTTTGTCAAAAACCGATTTTGCGTAAAAATTCCCGTTTTTCCTTAATTTTTATATTGTTTTTCTTGGCGCTTTTGAAAAGTACTGTGAATTTTAAATTTTGACCCCCCCAAGGTACCAACTAGATTCACTTTCCTATCAGAAAAGCTACTGATGAAGAAAATCCAAGCACTTTTACTGTCCTAAAACGTGATGACAGACACAAAAAAAAATATAAAAATATAAAAAAAACACACATCATTGTAAAACCAATACATTCATCGCTCCGCTCAGAATCTAAAAGTTTGAATCTTTATTTGCGCCTATATGATAACGATTATATTCAAATATTCAATGACGTATATTTTGACAAATACGATTTCAAACTTTGTCGATTCAACACCATGTAAACTAAAACGTGTGTCGTGTATTACCAATGGGCAATGTTATTTTAGATTCTGAGCGGAGCGATGAATGTATTGGTTTTACAATGATGAATGTTTTTATATTTTTATATTTTTATATTTTTATTTATATTTTTGTGTCTGTCATCACGTTTTAGGACAGTAAAAGTGCTTGGATTTTCTTCATCAGTAGCTTTTTTGATAGGAAAGTGAATCTAGTTGGTACTTTGGGGGGTCAAAAGTATAAATTCCCAGTAGTTTTCACAAGCGCCGGGAAAAACAACATAAAAATTAAGGAAAAACGGGAATTTTTACGCAAAATCGGTTTTTGACAAAATCGAATTTGGTTTTTGGTGTAACTTTTAAACAAATGAACGTAGATACATGAAATTTTCACTGGTTGTTTATATTTGCATTTTCTATACACGATAACATTTTCAAAATATTTTGATTTATTTTGAACTGTTTAGAGACATTTTCATTTTTCATTTTTTTTTAGTTTTTTTTCTAGAAATATCAATAAAATTTTATTTGTTGGTTGCGAAAGCTTGAAAATTTAATAGAAGGCTCCTAATATGTTGTTTCAAAGGCAGATGAAAAATATTAAAAATCCTTGGTCACAATTTTTTTTATAAGCATTTAAAGTTCAAAAATTGACAAAATATGGAAAAATCACGAAAATTAGCAAATTATTTTGAGTTAAGAATTCGTAAAAATTTTTCTTTTTAAATCTAAGATTTGAAAATGAAACACAAGATTCCTTATAAGATTATCTACCTTTATCAATAAAAAAATCTCTACCGGACAGTCAAATTGAATTTTTATGAGCGTTTGAAATTCAAATTTTTACAACATTGGATTTTCACTCGATTACTCATGTAGCGATTTCCTTATTTTGTTGCAATTCAAAAACGAACAACTGTAGATACATGAAAATTTCACTGAATCTTTAAATTAGCATTTTCTATACACCATACAATTTTGAAAATATTTTGACTCTTTTTGAGCTGTTTATGGACATTTACAGCTTTCAATTTTTTTTATTTTTTTTTTCTATAAATATCAATAAAGGTGTATCTGTTGGGCCAAAAAGTGTAAAACTTTAATACAATACTCCTGATATATTGTTACAATATTAGTTTAAAAACATTGAAAATACATAGGCACAATTTTTTTTATAAGCATTTTAAGATCGAATTTTGACAAAATGTATGAAATTTAGAATTGAATAATTATTTTGTAGTTAAATATTTTTAAAATGTTTAACTTTTATATCTAAGAATTTTAAATTTAAAACAAGATTCCACTTAAGTAGTTAATTCTGTTACCAAATAATTTAAAAAATACATAAGCGCAGTTTATTTTTATAGTCATTTTAGGTTCAAATTTGGACGAAACTACATAAAAAACCTAGAATAATACAAGGCTCCTGATATATTGTTACAATAGCAGTTGAAAAATATTAAAAATACATAGGCATGATTTTTTTTATAAGCATTTAAAGTTGGAATTTTGACAAAATTTATCAAAATCTCGAAAATTATCAATCGTTGGAATTAAAAAATTATAAAATGTTCAGTTTTTATAACTAAGAGTTGAAAATTTAAAACAAAGATTCTCTTAAATAATTCATACTGTAACCAAAAAATCTAAAAAATATATAAACACACTTATTTTTTACAGACATTTTAATTTCAAATTTAGACAAAATTTCATATTTAAACCAAGAATTACGATTTTAGTTATTTCGTTTTGATTGAATAATATTATTCGTGGGTACTTGAAACTTCTAAAGTGTACTATTATATATCTATGATAGTATCACGGTTTT